AGTGAACTGATTTATCTATTTATCTTTTTGAATCTAATTTAGCATTATTCTATTCAAGAAAGTAGTTCACTTGCCTATGGAACTAAAGAGTTAAAAAGTTAATAGTGAATACATCATTAAGGTGCTAAGTTTCCAGAGTAATTCTGGTAATTATGAAAAATTGATATTTTTGAGTTGGCTATTTCAGATTAATTTGAAAAAGTATAGTGGTGTTCTAGTTGTTTTCTTTTAAAAGCAACCTAAGCTGAAAGGTAATCAAATAATGCAGTCTCCATCTCAAGGGGGGCAGTCAGCCAACCAGTCTTTAAGAACAATAGTTTTGAACCCATAGGACCCTGAAATGACTACTCCACCTGGCTATCCTCAGGAGATTGCAATGGTCCCTATGTCATATACATAGGTGACGAATGTTTAGGGGCATCAGAATCTAAGTGTATGATTCTTTTAACCCCAGGCAAGGTCAAACAGACTGGCCACGTAGGCTACCTTCTAAATACTTATGGGATTAGGTCAGGGATCTAGGGGACCAGACTCTTCTCTATAATCACTCTGAATCTAAATGTCTCCATATAGCCTGGGTGGTCAATGAGTGCAGCCTGTTCTGTTCAAGGCAGGTAGAATGTGAAGCACTCTGGGGCACTTACTCAGAATCACAGCATCTTTAGTCCTGATCTGGCACTGACTTCTCTGAAGACACACAAAAAGCAGAATTATACTTCACTAGTATTTTGTAGCTTCAGGTTCATACTGTATCTCTTAGCAACATGTAAGACAGGAACAATTCATACCATTTCTTTTTGCTTCAGATTTTTTATAGACAGACAGGGGAGAGGTTGGAGTATAAATAAATATTCTCTTCTGTCTCTCACGGGAACAAATGTGTGCCATAAAAATGTGCAATAGCATTGTTTATATCATTCTAATTCTAATGTAATCTTCCTTATTACCAACTGTCTGAAATTTCCACATAAGATAATAAGAGGAAGGCCAGTGGTGGCTCAAGCTTGTACTACTCCCAGCACTTTGGAAGGCTGGGGCAGGAAGTATCTACTTAGTCTTTGTGGAAATTTAGCCAAGAATTGTAATCTTTTTGGGTCTTAGGTGCTTCATCTGTATAACGAAGACTACACTCTTCAGAGTTGTGGTGAAGATCAGAGATGTATGAAGCACCTGTGCCTGCATTCTACACAGTTAAATAAGTGGCAGACATCATTGTCATTATTCTATTTTCACAGAATTCTGAAAAGTTACACTGGCTAGGACATAAGGAGCTCAAGCAGGTGACAAGTGGAAAATTACAGAACCAGAAGATGAGTGAGATGGAGCGTGTACTTGAGACTCACCACTTTCCTGATGTAGAGAACTTCAGAGAGATGGGCATTTAAATGATGCTCTTCGGCAATGAAAAGTAACATTTATTAAAGACATGAAAATTATTTAAAAATTTGTTATAGTCATATCATTAGATAAAAAGTAATACTAAGTCTTTATCCTAACTATTCTGAAAAATGTGCCCTTCTTCAGGAGCAGAACACGGTGTGCTGGTTGTGTAATTCTGAACACTACAGTCAGATGGAACGTTAAGTAAAATCAGTAGGGATGACTAAACGCGAGGGCCACGGTTATTGATACGCCCCTTCTATCAATGTAATGGCCCTTCCACTACCTGTGGTATCATAGTTCTCATTGTGGAACAGGGGTCTCTAAAAGGCAATGAAGTGCAGATTCTAAGCACTTTAGGTTTGCTATTTTATTTAGTTTTACACCAACTCTGTGAGGTAGGTAATGCTATCCCAATTTTATAAATGAGGAACATGCATCTTAAAAAAGTATTCTGTCCAACTGGGAAATGGAGTAGCTAGAGTTACAACCTTGGTCTTGTTAGCTCTCTGCCAGCCTGTTACTAGGAAGAAAGACATTTGTTTTCCATTAATATAGTATTTGGCACAAAGTAGATGCTCAATGAATCTGAAATGAATGGGCAAATAAATCATTCAACATTTGGATGATGTGCTAAAGCTGCCAGCAAAAAAAGATGGTGAGGCCAGGGCTGCCTTCTACAGAATGATTCTGCCGAATGTCTATAACTAGTGTTTTATGCACTGGACTGTGCCTTCACAGCCCTCATGCCTGGAAAATTATGGAATACAAGAATATATTGTCTGATGATTAATTCTGAAGTAACCATAAAATTGTAGCTGTAAATGAGATTGTCTAGATTCAGACATCAGTTTCAGTTTGTTGCCTTTACTCTTAACACTGTTATAGCTGACTTTTAAAAATAGAACAAAAATCCTAGCCTGTCCTGAGAGATTGAGCCTGCCCATGACACATCTGTCTAGAGCACATGGGGACAAAGCCAGACTCTGTGCTAGCAGCAAATACAATATGAAGGCTGTAAAACTCTGAAGGTGAAAAAGAAAAAAATAATGCTGACAGGAAGGCCATCTTGTGACAATCTGCATTTACATTAAATCTCGCCAGGGGCCTGACAATCACAGTGGGGCTTCTTCATGACTTACGGTCTGAACACAAGGGCCTGCACCACCATAGCACATCTGGAGTTTGTTAGACAACCTTTAGTTTTTATTTTTTTCATCAGCCCTGGCCCCTTCCTCTGATGCAGCCTCTCCAAGTGCTGCTTTGCCATGAATGAGTCAAGGATACCAGTTACCCTGGGGAGGGGGTTGTAAATTGGGACCATGTTAGAGGGTGACCCCCAAATCTGTATCTCCCTCCTTGCTTCACCGCTCTCTGAGGACAGGAATCCTCTTGAATGCCAAGAGCCCATTAGGCAGTGGCAGCTCCACTCACTCGAAAGCCTGGTCAGTGCTGCCTGCTCCCCTGTTAGGAAATGGCCTTTAGATTGAGGCACATTCCAGCAATTCAAGGACTAGAAGCTTTAAATTAAAACAACATTCATGCCATATCCTCTTTCCAAAAGGCCTCTCCCTGTCCAAAAGTTAGTACACACACTTAGAGGAATTAAAGAACCAAATGTCTCTGGCAAGGCCCCTTGGTTTTTGCTCACAGCATCCCAGACACATTTTGAGAGGGTAAGAATGTGAACCTTTACATGAAAGGGAGACAGAAGGAGACGGTAGGAAGAACTCCTGAGAACTGTATTTTTCTTGCTACATGGGACATATCACTACAAAATATTTGAGGCATACAGTTAGATGTAAAGACATTGAGAAGTTTTAGTTTTCTGAGGATACAAACTCACAGACTAATTTCCTTAATTTTCACCTAAGGAAAACATCCTCTTGAGAACCAGGAAAACAAAAGCCATTGTAAATGAAGTGTAGAGCTCTGGTCTGTTACACATTCTCTTCTATTTGGTGTCATAAAGTGAATGTATTCAGGCCTCACTACTTACAGAACTGATAATTGCCAACTATATATGCTCACAAACCGAGGAACTCTTTTCTTCCTATTTCGTACTATCAGTTTTGATAAGCCAAACTTCAGTTTTCAACTACTAGACAGATGTCTTTAATAATATGCACATTCTTCCTATTTTATGTAACAGATATTCAGATACTAGATGAGGTTCTCTTATTGCTAACAATTTTAGGACATTGGAAAAGTTTTCTCTACTTATAAATAAGCAATGGGGTGGCGCCTGTGGCTCATTGAGTAGGGTGCTGGCCCCATATAACCAGGATGGTGGGTTCGAACCCAGCCCTGGGCCAAACTGCACAAACTGCATTGTGGTGGGCACCTGTAGTCCCAGCGTGGGAGGCTGAGCCAAGAAAATCACCTAAGCCCAGGAGCTGGAGGTTGCTGTGAGCTGTGACACAACAGCACTCTACCGAGGGCAATAGAGTAAGACTCTGTCTCTAAAAATAAATAAATAAATAAAAAAGCAATAGGTTACTTTTAGCTAGTTAACTATCTGTCTTATAGAAAAGGAACATCTTCTCACCAAAATCAGCCACATAAATAAATGGAAGGTTTATGTCAAAGCAGTTTTAAATGTTAATTATTAACATGTACATCAGATATCTATCAAAATACTATCAATTGATGACAGACTCTCCAAAATAAGAAAAAAAATGCTTCACTTGAGAAGCTCTTTCTCAGTCTCATTACTC